CAAAATCGAGACTCGTCACTAAAGACAATACTGTTCCATTCCTGATCCCAGAGTGACCGTTGTCTGCACCACTCAAGGCGATTACGTCGGTGTTCTCGAGTTAAAGCGAGGACCCGTCGGTAAACACTTCGCATGCCAATAGGTCTTCCGTGTTCTGCAAACCATTCATTTGCAATGGACCTGGTAGTGGAGAAACGGTCCCTTAAGGCCAATAATCTTAGGCGGCGATCTTCACGGTCTGTTGTTCTATGGCGGCGTCCAGTGCCCCTTGCTCTTTGCGTACGGTCTTCTCGAAGCCACGCTTGACAACACCTAACCACAGTGTCTACACTTCTTTGCACTCTAACTGCAATTGCCCGAAAAGAAAGTCCAGCTTCCCGAAGTTCCACTACACGGCCCCTATCAACCTCACTAAGTTGACGAAATCGTACAGGTCTCCGTACTCTAGGCATCGTAACCGATCGTAAAGGATGTCAAGAACCAAAATCGGCCAACGTTGAGTCTTTACTGCGGCTGAAATATACATTTTTAGAGCGTTAGTGAATTAAAAAAAAGCAGTATAAAAACCGGAATGTCCAACTGATAAGGCTGAACATTTTTTCACTTGTTATTTACAGTAAGATAAATACATTCACCAACTTTTATTAAAATAAAACCATTTAAACTGGGTGTTCGGATTTATATGTCACTTAGTATATTTCAAATAACTTGACAAAATTATTCAATATTGAGATCGATCAATAGTTCTCAATTGAATCACGGTCACCCCTTTGTAAATAGGACAAACCCTGGTTTCCTTACATTTATCTGGGAATTTAGCTGCACATAATATGAGATTAAAAAGAATAACCAGAGCATCTACTATACCAAGCGCACAATCTTTGACCAGGAAAGACCGGTGCTTATCTGGCCCTGAGGTCATCTTGGACTTCAGTTTTTTTGCTGCATCACATATTTCATTTTCAGTTATACTCTCCTGAGTAAAGTTGACAATACATTGGATCTCGTAAAGATCGGAAAAGGCAACGGCCGTCTTCAAAATCTCGACAAAAGAATCGTAGTTACACCGAGTACAATATATCCGCTAAGGCAAGTGTGGTGAACCTGAGAAAAAGCTGTGAAGAGCGAGGAGTTCCTCCAAACCAGGCGACAGGAACACCCAGGTAAGTGCCAATCCAACATTGTCTTTGTATGGCTCGGATGTCGATTGCTTTATTATCTTAATTATATCTGAACGCGCTTAAGAGTCCCGCGGCTCTCCACAATTTAGAATCATCTTTGCAATAACATCTTTTGGTTGCAGCAAGCTGAAATTTTGAGGGCTTATTCTACGTGGATTGAAACAGTTTTGACAATAAAATGAATAATGAAATACAAACTCAATTTTTTTTACTGCCCTCCAAAGTTGAGGGATGGGAGAGATTTTACACAAAAAAATTAATCTAAGACTTTTTACGTAGATTTTTAATTAGCTCTGTTAAAAAGTGACATAATCGTTGCTAAAACTAATCATTTAGCTCATCTCAAAAAAAAATCAACAGCCCTAAGCCTAATAGTTTAGTTGTAATTGCGATTGAAAGTTCATTATCTCGTTTTTTTCGAAATTTCACAAAATCGCAAATATCTCCTGGACTATGCAATTTCGGACCACACATATAGGGGGTCATTCGAAAGGTTTTGAGGCCTTCTATCACCTGACTTTTGCTGATCCACTATCAACTTTACACCCTGTATTCACTGTACACAGTCTAATTACGGGTCATATACATTCTAACATTAAATACACACAATGCGGCCGCGGTGGTGATTTCCCGTAATTCTCCTCAAGCTTTTTGGAAACACAAAAAAACGAGAAAAATCGTAGTTTATAACTTTGAACAAAACCTGTCATCAGAAAGGACAACATATAAATAACCCGTCGGGCACAGCTAATAGATATACTATTTGCACACTAAAAACTACATAGTCTGCAAGATGATATTTTGTCGTTTTTTTTGACGTTTTTTAGTTTTTTACATACCTCTGCGGACATATGACTTAAAGTCGTACTCTTCTTATGATTACAGGTAGGAGGACGCTGTTAGTAGCAAATGAAAATCCACAATACTACACTGCCACGCAAAATTAACCGTTCTGTTCAAATTAAATTTTGAATAACTTTTTAACCTTTGCATCAATTTCGTTAATTTTTTTCGTCAAGTTGAGGTAATTTCATTCTTATCATTATCGACTGTCGATCTTGTAAAAAATTTGAAACTGTTTGTTGTTATACAGGGTGTAACTAAAAGGTGCATTTTGCCCTAAATTTCTGAACACCCTGTGGAAACATTGGATTGCTGAATAATGTTTTTTTGAATGAGAATTTTAAGTCTCAACTTTTCTCGTCAGTTCTTTTTTGATTCATGTCAATGTCTCAGTTATTGAAGAATATATGCTGCATTGAAGAAAATCATGCGAGTCATAGCCATAAACAATTTAATTTAAAAAATTGCAGTGGCAACATTGGTAAGAAAACTATGAGAATCATAACCCTAAACAATTTAACTTAAAAAATTAGAGTGACATCATTGGTAATTAGAAATTGTTATCAAAAACGAGTATTTCCTCCCCAGGCTTGAATAACAGCCTCATCCTCTCTGACATAGATTCAATTAAATCAGCCTTTTTCTCAATGTATCCTACATTTGCTCAATGGGGTTGAGATCCGGTCTCCTTGGCGGCCAGTCTAGTACTTGAATTCCACCATCGTTGAGGTGTTATTGCCTAGTCATTCTGGCTATATGCGGCCGAGCATTTTCTTGCAATAGGAGAAAATGTTTCTCCTATAAAGGGCATATGAGGAACCACATGTGCTTCCAAACACTCTCTGATGTACTCGTCGGCAGTGAGGTGTCCTCCTCGTAGCGAAACAAGATCTATGCGGGATTCCAAAGGAATACCGCCCCATACCATCACTCCTCCACCACCAAATTGCACTCTAGTAGCGAAACAACTTTGAGGGTAGCAGGTGAAAATATCTCGTAAAACGAGAGTCGTCTGTCGTCCATATCCCAATCTGCATGAGCTCGAGAAAATACCAAGCGCCGCCTTCGATAACCTACATCCAATAGAGGACCTGTAGCAGGTACACAAGATGCTAGGTTTCCTTCTCTCAATCTTCAGCGTACGGTATCAGGTGAAACTATGGTACCATGAACATCATTCAATCTTGGAGTCAGAGCTGTAGCAGAAACTGTCCTTTCTCGAAAGCTTGAAGTCTCATAAACCGATCTTCAACTGCGTTGGTTGTTTTCCGTCTTTCCTGCCCAGGTCTTCTTGAGTAAGAACAGTTTCTCTAAATCTTTAATCTTTAATTTATTGTTTATGGCTATGATTGGAATCATTTTCTTCGAAACAGCATATAGTCTTCAATAATTGATATATTGACATGAATCAAAAAAAGAACGATTGAGAAAAGTTGAGGCTTAAAAGTCTCATACAGTCACATTATTCACTAATCCAATCTTTCCCCGGGGTGTTCAGAAATTTAGGCAAAATGCACCTTTTAGTTACGCCCTGTATATACAGTGGCGGCTCGTGGCAAAATAAAACAGGTGTTCTGCAAATCCGAACTTACCTATTTTTTATGTCAGTTCGATCCTGCGCTCCTTCTTGGCAGCAAATTTGTCGATCAGCTTCCCGTTCAAATTTTCCATGGTCGAAATAAATTCCTTTTCAACGGGCAGCATCGACAACGCTGTAAGGCGATCCTGGGTCATAGTATTTTGAAGAAAGGTCTTGATTCTTTTCAGTGTTGAGAAATTTCGCTCAGCCTCTGATGTTGACATAGGAGTTGTAACAATAATTTCTAATAGCTTTTTTGTTTCTTTTAATGTCTCTTCCAAACTATTTTGTATCAAAAATTTCAAAAGAGACATAGCTCCATATAAATCTCGGCAATCATTCCGTGCATAAATAACAGACAACTATGTATTTAAACGACTTTTTTCTAATTCGGGATAAGCCAAGCAGGTAGTTTCCAACTTGTCATCAGGAAACGTACCACAGTATTCTCCAAAGTGAAGTTCGGGGGAAAAAAGGTATGCGGCTACCAAATGATCTTTGAAATCTGTCATTTGCAGAATTCACTATATTGTCGCATACTCAAAATGCGGCAACTCGGTGATCGTGACTGCTATTATTACGTCGTCTCCTTTTGTTGCCTTGGGGTTCAGTGCAAATACTTTTGGCTTCATTTATGTCATCAATTATATTGCGCCTCGCCTTCATAAATAAGGATAAGTGTAGTAGCGCTGGTTGCAGTCAAATCTCACACAGTTCAAAGCAAATTTTCTCACCCTGGATACAGTCCTGTCCTTCCGCCACTCCGTCGAACCCCCATACTTTGTTTGTGTGTCGAATCGAACAGTTCGTTTCCGGTTAGTGCGTACCTTAGTGCCGGGATTTTTTCAAATTGTGGGTGTCATGCCCAAAAAATCAATTAAGCGAAGGCACCGCAGCCTGTCACGCGAATCTAGCGCGGAAAATGCAAGAAATATGAGTGATGTAATGAATTATCTTCAAGACATTACTAAGAGATTGCGGAAATTGAAGCTCGCCGCAGCCGAAGCCCAGTACGGCAACGACATCGGAGAGTAGTGTCGTCTTTGTCTTCATCGTCTCAGTAGTCGGAGTCCTCTCTGTTATCTAGATCAAGGACTCCCCCTGGTTCGAGTATAATGGATCGGTCCGGAGGCCACACTTCAAATTGCACGGTTTCACCGATTTGTTTATCTTCGGCTGGTGAGAAGCAGGTATCGATAGGGTACCTATTTATTTCGTCTGGTACCAATGAGAGTACCCAATTATGTCGCCTGGTACCAATGAGTGTACTTACGTATTTGCCGGGTATCGATGAGAGTACCTTTTTTGTTTTTGGCTGGATGATAAGGTATCAATGAGCATACCTTCCGTTTATCCCGCTCTTCACAGTTTCTGGTCAAGTTGGGACAACGTGTCACATTAGTGCTGATGATACACTAACACATCCAGGTGGAATAAAAATGTTGTTTCTTCCAGGGTAAGGAGACGCCCGTCCTCCTGGTGTCGAGCTCTCAGAAGATGTCGTCGAAATCCTGGGCACAACCTGATACCAACACATTCATTTATGGGCCGAATTTACACAAAAATTTAGTTTCCCGTTGGCAAAAAGCTGTGGCCGCGAGGTTGTCTGAAGAGGACAAAAAGGAACTTTGCAAGTATCCTCCCCCCGAAAATTTTCAATACATGGCGGCCCCAAAACTTAACCCGATGGTTGTCAAGGCGATATCACCCTCAAAGGGACACTCGGTTGATGGCTCTACAGGGTCAAACCGCATGTTTAGCCGCTACGGGCCAACTCTTTAGCTTCATGTTGGCTGAAGCTAGTATCGAAGTGTGTAATATTCAAAATTTTTCAGATCGGTTAGAAATCCGCATATCTAAAAGGATAAAGACATCTGGCGTTAACAAAATGCAGCCCACATTATTTTTGCCATTTTTTCCGGATAATGTGAATATTTGCCCAGCCAAAACGTTACTGTTATATCTATAAAAAACAAAGGCTATTCGAGGTAACGAACTGAGTTTGTTTCTATGTTTTAAAAGGCTGCTCAAAGCAACAGCAGATGGTTAAAAACTATGTTATTAAAGAGTGGTATAGACATAAGTTCTTTTGTGGTCAGAGCACTAGACATTCAGCTACTTCTGCCGCCTCCAGGAAAGGGATAAGCTATGATAGCATCCGGTTGGCCGCGGGGTGGACGGAAAAATCTAAAACATTCGCAAGATTTCATCAAAAACCATTAGTTTCTAGTAGGTCTGACTTTGCGGAAGCAGTGTTCAGTTGTGGCTAATGTTAAAGAAATTAGAAATAGTTGTTCTTGTTCACTATAGAGAAATAGTGGAAATCACTGTTAAGTTTGCAGTTACTAATATGTATATAATTACGCATATGTAACTTGATGATACTAAACAAATTGTTGCAACTTACTTTGAACTACTACACTTATCCTTATTTATGAAGGCGAGGCGCAATATAATTGAGAGATTAAACGAACTTACCTAAGTGAAGTTTAATCCTAATTATATGAGCCTCGCCGGAATAAATAAGCTCCCGCCCTTTACTCTACCCTCTGCTCAGCAGAACTTAAGGGCCAGCCGCCCCTGCTGGATAACAACAAACATTTTCATTGTTTTGGCAAGATCGACTGTCAATAAAATTACCTACAACTTGACGAAGAAATTAACGAAATTGATGCAAAGGTTAAAAAGTTATTTAAAATTTAATTTGAACGAAATACACAACTCATTTTAGGCGAACGTGGACTGAGCGGTACAGAAATGTGGTCAGTGGACTCATACCTTAAGAACCTCAATGCTTATCTGTAAAGCACCAGTGCAAGAGATTGAAGATGCGCGATGCACGCCGCCTAGATGCACTTTGAGTGCGTGCGCTCGCGGGCGGGCGTGAGAATACCGCGAGTCATAGAGATGTCAATTGGCTCCTTTATCTGACCATTGCGTATTTTTTTCCGGTGTTCAATGGTTTCGTGATCGGCAGATAAGTGCACATTTTAAAACGCGACGCCGAGTCGAGGCGGCCGGCTCTCTGTAACATCACAATATCATGATACATGCAGATGTAGATAGCGACGAGCAACAGGAATAACGCAGTGAAATATCGCGAGACGTTCTTTGAACGCCGATGTCCATTTGTTTAGAAGAAAAATCAGGTAGACTGAGAGCTGGTAGCACGATGACAGGTACTTGAAAAGTTAACTGCGTGTACGTACAGGCCTACGCAGACGACACTTCAGGCAAGATCTTAGACTTCGTTTGAGAGAGAATGCGATCAGCATGCAACAATTCTTGAAAAATGTCGTCAAGTAGGTTGACTCTGCACTTTCCACGCAACGTTGTTATGTTCGATACAAGTAGTCCCTCTGAACTAAGAACATGCTTAATAAAAAATGAAATGGGTCAAGTCAGCCAAATAGGCCCAAACAACTGGTCCATACTCTACAGGGTGTTTCAGTTTATTGTTGCATAACTTTAATAATTGATAGAACTTTTAAAACTAATGCATAAAGTCTATATCAACATGGGTCGAAAAATGCGTGGCTTCCGAAATACAGGGTGTTTAAATTTACTTTCTAAAATAGTTTTTTTTTAAATATTTCGAACAATATTTGATGTATAACAGTGAAAATTGGTATACAAGGGTTTTTTGGTACGACAAAATGAACCATGGGCATAGTTTTACTGTAGCCGCTAGAGGGCGCTCTCTACTGTACCTGCGGTGTATTAAAATGACCGAAAAATTTTTCTTAGTGCAATTTTTTTCTTTTTGAATAAATAAACTGATTCTTCGCACTTTTCAACATAAAAAAGCTCTCCTGTCAGTTTTCGTTATAGTTAGCCGTTTTTGAGATATTTCGATTTTTAAGGTTCGATGCATTTTTAATTATTTATGGGAAAATAATATTTTTTTTACATTTTCGATTTTTGCATTACAAGTAATTAAGATGTTCGTTTAGATTGTATTTTTGAACACAGCAATAATTCCTAACTAGAAATAAACACAAAAAAAAACAGAATATTAATTTGTTTAATTTTCCAATATTATTTTTAACAAATTAAATTAATTATTTACAACTAAAATGCTATTGGATAGTTAGGACAAACATACAAAATCTAAAGTAGTTGCTCGAAATGTAAACCCAATTGTTCAATACACAATTCACATCTACGAATGATCGAACGTGGTATAGCATTATTCAAATAAGGCCTTATTTCATCACATGCATTCCTGATTCTGTCTATTAGCATATCTCTTGTGGTTACGGGAGGCTGGTACACTTTTTCTTTTAGAAATACCCACACAAAGAAATCTAATGGATTTAGGTCAGGGGATCGTGGAGGCCAGGCGACTGGTCCTCCACGGCCGATCCATCTTTCTGGATAATTTTCGTCCAGCCAGTTTCTAACTATTCTCGAATAATGAGCTGGACAACCATCAAGCTGGAACCAGGCCAATCTTCTTAAATCTAACATAACATCATCCCACATATTTGCATGTTCAGCCTTTAAAAATTCCAAGAAGGTCGCAGCATTTAACCTTGCAGGCAAAAGGTAGGGTGCAAATAATCGATTAGGGTAGATACCAATCCACACGTTCACACTAAATTCATGCTGAAAATTTATTTCCCGAACCGATTTTTTCAGTTTGTAGAAAACACAAACTATTCTGTTTTTAATTTCTTTCTAAGCTGTTAAACATACAGGTTGTTCATTTGAAAACTTTCCGCCACGTATTAGTCGAAAACCACCGATTAAAAGAGAAAACGCCGAGACAAGATTTGTCTGTTCTGAAACACCCTGTAATATCCACGTTCGCATGGAGCACGGAATCTTCATGGGAACACCCGGGACACCTCAGGGCATATCTGTTTCAAATAGTATCGCGTATCTCGTTCCTTTATGTGTATGTATGTCACTAAACCTATTAGCCCGTAAGGTATAGGTATGGGGTTTCAGCAGAACTGGTTTCATATCGTATCTCTTACAAGTCGTACATCCACTTCTATGATAGATTTTGTAGGTTCGCATTTGCCAAGCTGTGGTATGATGCTTACATATTCAGTGAAGTAACGATCAATTAAGTTAGTAATATCCCGGCTCTGGATTATTATTCACCAGTCAAGTAAATTTAAAAATCAATACAAGAAGTATTGGTGGAGATCGCTACGAGGGATGTCTTTCAAGTTTTGCACATGGAAATAAAACAACACGGTAGGTAGTTTTAAATGACTTTATTGTTTTTCGAAGTATTCTCCACGACGATTAATACACATCTGCACATCCAAAACGGCATTTTTGAACGCGTTAACTGCTTCTTCTGGTGACTAGAACCCTTAACCACGCAGTCTGTTTTTAATTTTCGGAAAAGTATAGAAATCTTTAAGACTTAAGATCGGGTCTAGATGGAGGATGGTCAGTTATACACACAACAGAATACACCTCAACACAGGAACACCAACGACCAAAGTATTGTTCGAAAACAACCTAACCTGCAACGAACTGTCAACACGCTGACATGACATAACCTCACTTGTCATCTTTCAAATGTGATCGATCATGAAACATGCAAAAATCGTTTGTCTTTATCGGATACATGCAATTCAGCAATACTACTTGTTTAGACAATAAAATTTTGTTTGTCTCTGTCTAACACATCTGAATCTTCATTTAAAAATATTCACAAATGGCTGTCGTTTGTCTTTTCTACAGAATAAAATGATGACGTAATCGTCATCTTTCGTGATTTCGACTATAACTAGTTAGTGTTTGAATAAATTTCTGCATTAAAAAACACCCGATAAATATTTTGTTCCAAAACTTTTAGGACATATGTACGTTATCAGCTTGGATCCAGTCTTGCAATTTATACCGCCGCATGAAAGCAAGATCGTTTTTCTCAAAAATCGATCATATTATCGATGTCAAACCGAATCATTTTCAGCTGGAGGATGGGGCATTCCAAAAATATCATTTTTGATCCATCTTTATAGAGGGTAACGCTACTGCGTCGCCTCTCGCAGTCCAAGCTGGTTGCTAAGTTGACCAAATTTCTTTGAAATACTGTCCCATCAAATCGTTTATGGACAATCTGTGTAACTCCGCGAAAAAGCCCGGCAGGACGTTTTTAAGGAACTGGTAACATTATTTCTAGGTGCATCCAAGAGATTGGCTACTTATTTTGCGAGACCTCGTATATCTGCCTGTAATCGGAGACCTGCGTCGCTCATCTCACTTGATAATCAGCAGTTACTGGGACTGGGTCATTTTTTTAGTCTGGCGGTTCCATTAGAACCTGTAGTCGTGGTCATCGCTAGTGCAGACAACTCATGTGAATATTGCTGGTCGGTCGTGTCTGTTTTCTTTTAATCCAAGATTCCGTTAGTTTGGTTATGCTTTGATGTGTCACCACCTGGCTTTACCTATTGCAATACTAGTCGAACTTTACCGAGATGAGACTTTTTATGCTCAACTGGGGTCACGGATTTTACGATAACGCTTCATTGCCGCTTCAAAAGATACATATACTAAGTGACATATAAATCCGAACACCCAGTTTAAATGGTTTTATTTTAATAAAATTTTGTATAAGTACTTAATGAAGCATAATAAGTAAATGATAAAAATTTCAAAATGATTGCACTGCTTTAAAGCCCTTCAATAATGTGTGGATGCACCCTGATGTGCTACGCATTCTCCAACGCGCCTAAGCATGCTTCTGATCAGGTGGTCAATGTCCTCCTGTGGTATCTCATTCCAGGCAACCACCAACTCCTCTCCAAGTGCTTCTAGAGTCTGAGGAGGACGTTGCAAATTGAGCAATCTCCTACCCATCATATCCCACACGTGCTCAATTGGGGATAAGTAGGGAGATCTTGGTGGCCATGGTAACAATGTGACATCATTATGTTGAAAGAAGTCTATTGTGACTCTTGCAACATGTGGTCGGGCATTATCTTGTTGGAAAGTTGGATCTGCCAGGGTGTCAAGATAGGGTAAAAGATGGGGTTCTAGAACTTCGTGGATATAACGCTGCGCGTTCATGTTACCTCTGATGAAGATTAAAGGTGACCTGGAACCATAAGCTATAGCACCCCAAACCATAACTTCAACAGTGTGATGAACATGTCTTTCAACAAAAAATTGTGGATTCCTCCTTTCACCACGTCGCCTTCTAACCCTGGCACGACCATCGTGCATGCCTAAACAAAATCGAGACTCGTCACTAAAGACAATACTGTTCCATTCCTGATCCCAGAGTGACCGTTGTCTGCACCACTCAAGGCGATTACATCGGTGTTCTCGAGTTAAAGGGAGGACCCAGTGTGGCCGGTATGAAAACAAGCCAAAACTTCTCATTCGTCGGTAAACACTTCGCATGCCAATAGGTATTCCGTGTTCTGCAAACCATTCATTTGCAATGGACCTGGTAGTGGAGAAACGGTCCCTTAAGGCCAATAATCTTAGGCGGCGATCTTCACGGTCTGTTGTTCTACGGCGGCGTCCAGTGCCCCTTGCTCTTTGCGTACGGCCTTCTCGAAGCCATGCCTGACAACACCTAACCACAGTGTCTACACTTCTTTGCACTCTAACTGCAATTGCCAGAAATGAAGGTCCAGCTTCCCGAAGTCCCACTATGCGGCCCTATCAAACTCATTAAATTGACGAAATCGTACAGGTCTCCGTACTCTAGGCATCGTAACCGATCGTAAAGGATATCAAGAACCAAAATCCGCCAACGTTGATTCTTCACTGCGGCTGAAATATTCATTTTTAGAGCGTTAGTGAATTAAAAAAAGCAGTATAAAAACCGGAATGTCCAACTGATAAGGCTGAAAATTTTTCCATTTGTTATTTACAGTAAGATAAATACATTCACCAACTTTTATTAAAATAAAACCATTTAAACTGGGTGTTCGGATTTATATGTCACTTAGTATACATAGGTAGGGTAAATCGGGAAAGTTTTAGAGGAAACTTAGTGCTTAGTGTTTTCGGTTTTGAAAATATCAGCGTAAAACCGGAAATGTCGATTTTTGTTTTTTGCCAGCAAATCCGAAACGGTTAACTTGACAGCTGTCAAAATGTGACATTATTCGGACATTTTTTTAAGGCAATTAAGATAGCGAGTACGACCTTTCTCGATAGTCTTTTGTTTTCCAGCAACCTGTCTCAACTTTCATTTTTCTTATGGCCGCCATATTCGATTTTTCGATTTTTGAAAAGAGCGTAAAATTTCCAGCCTAGTGTTGTCTAAGAAGTGTATAAAAGATTGGAGTATCATCGAAATATCATCACACGTAATGTTATGTATTAATTTTTTTCTAAGGAGGCCATGATTTATTTGTCAGAAACGTAACTCATTTTTCATCTAAGGAGGCTCTGACTTTGACGTTGAATAATTCAAAGTATTAAAATTCATACACTGATAAACTGAAACCTTACAAATTTCTACAGTTCTAGAAGTAGGTGGTAAGCTTTTGTCGAGAAAATCTGAATATACAATAATTTATTATTTCATTAATACCTAACAAATATACGGGTGTTCTTGAACACATTTATCAGACTCGTGGGCCTGTATATTCAAATGACCTTTGCCCAATTTGCAAAAAACCTATAACGGCAAAGTAGTGATGGGCACTTTTACCCTAATTTAAGTTGCAAAAACTTTTGGCAGTAATAGGAATTGTGGAGGATAGTTATGATCAAAACTATCATTAACGTGAAATATACATAGCCCGCTGTAATTACAACTGAGGATGGTCGAGGATAGAAATGCCGTTACCAGATGCGCTAAATTAACGTCGCTATTAAATAATTTATGCTCCAAACGGAGTAGCGAAGTCTTGAACCTACTGCCCTGGGTATTGAGCTCCTATATGTTGGATGTGTAGGAAGTTAAAACAGATAACTGTTATTGACAATGTGCGGTTGTTGTATACTAAATGACATATAAATCCGAACACCCAGTTTAAATGGTTTTACTTTGATAAAATTTTGTATTAGTACTTAATGAAGCATAATAAGTAAATGATAAAAATTTATAAATGATTGCACTGCTTTAAAGCCCTTTGACCTTTAATAATGTGTGGATGCACCCTGATGTGCTACGCATTCTCCAACGCGCCTAGGCATGCTTCTGATCAGGTGGTCAATGTCCTCCTGTGGTATCTCATTCCAGGCAACCACCAACTCCTCTCGAAGTGCTTCTAGAGTCTGAGGAGGACGTTGCAAATTGAGCAATCTCCTACCCATCATATCCCACACGTGCTCAATTGGGGATAAGTCGGGAGATCTTGGTGGCCATGGTGACAATGTGACATCATTATGTTGAAAGAAGTCTATTGTGACTCTTGCAACATGTGGTCGGGCATTATCTTGTTGGAAAGTTGGATCTGCCAGGGTGTCAAGATAGGGTAAAAGATGGGGTTCTAGAACTTCGTGGATATAACGCTGCGCGTTCATGTTACCTCTGATGAAGATTAAAGGTGACCTGGAACCATAAGCTATAGCACCCCAAACCATAACTCCAACAGTGTGATGAACATGTCTTGTAACAAAAAACTGTGGATTCCTCCTTTCACCACGTCGCCTTCTAACCCTGGCACGACCATCGTGCATGCCTAAACAAAACCGAGACTCGTCACTAAAGACAATATTGTTCCATTCCTGATCCCAGAGTGACCGTTGTCTGCACCACTCAAGGCGATTACGTCGGTGTTCTCGAGTTAAAGGGAGGACCCAGTGTGGCCGGTATGAAAACAAGCCAAAACTTCTCATTCGTCGGTAAACACTTCGCATGCCAATAGGTCTTCCGTGTTCTGCAAACCATTCATTTGCAATGGACCTGGTAGTGGAGAAACGGTCCCTTAAGGCCAATAATCTTAGGCGGCGATCTTCACGGTCTGTTGTTCTACGGCGGCGTCCAGTGCCCCTTGCTCTTTGCGTACGGCCTTCTCGAAGCCATGCCTGATAATACCTAACCACAGTGTCTACACTTCTTTGCACTCTAACGCAATTGCCCGAAAAGAAAGTCCAGCTTCCCGAAGTCCCACTATACGGCCCCTATCAAACTCACTAAGTTGACGAAATCGTACAGGTCTCCGTACTCTAGGCATCGTAACCGATCGTAAAGGATGTCAAGAACCAAAATCCGCCAACGTTGATTCTGTACTGCGGCTGAAATATTGATTTTTCGAGCGTTAGTGAATTAAAAAAAAGCAGTATAAAAACCGGAATGTCCAACTGATAAGGCTGAAAATTTTTTCACTTGTTATTTACAGTAAGATAAATACATTCACCAACTTTTATTAAAATAAAACCATTTAAACTGGGTGTTCGGATTTATATGTCACTTAGTATAAATATACACTGTGTTGAGGTATTTTTCAAAAGTTCTTTATAGGCAAAATGTATGTGCTGTTAAAGAACTATAAATTAAAATCTATATATTCAACAATAGTACAAATTTCAATATAATCGAAACTTTCGCTACCAGTACTACTAGATGTATAAGTGTGAAGAAAATTGAAGAGGCATGTAAATGCAACTGAGGCCTTTTGAGTTATACTGCATCAGATAAATACGTCTCTATCTCTCTCCCTCATCTTGAAATGAATATGACTACGTATTCCTGGTTATGCCATTACTTACCACGTTCCTGTAGGAATCTGTTTGTGTTGCTTACCTAGAAAAAAAAAATAAACTTTAGCAAATTTATATACAAACACATATTTTTCTTTTTTCATCGCTAATTTTTGGCTTTTCCTAACGGCACACCATAACTCCGGCTCAAATAAGTTAAGGACTAAAAAGAAGAGTTCCCAGAAGGTTAAATTCAAATGTTGATACTGAGGCACCCATTGATCTGCTGGTTGAAAAAATTGTGAGCGAGTGTTAAGAAAAGAATTATAACAATAACCACGCTAATTACCAGTGGACAACTGGGGCTGCCATAGGTCCGCTACTGACAATTTTGTCAAGTATACAGGGTGTCACTAACTACCATAATGCTCATTACTGGGCTGATAAAGGAGCTTTAAACCCCCAAAAATAAGACCGACGGGGTCTCAGAGCCGGTTTTCAGTCAATGTGTGGATGGGCATCATTGATGGATATTTAATTAGACCTCATTTTCTGCCCGCCAATTTAAATGGAGAAGTGTATGAAGAGTTCTTGAAAAATCACTTGTTTCCATTAATGGAAGACGTCCCATTGGCGACGAGACAAAATATGCGGTTCCAGCACGAAGGCTGTCCCGCACACTACAGTAGATTAGTACGAGCGTATTTAGACTCTAAATTTCCAAATCAATGGATTGGCAGAGGCGGGCCCATTGCCTGGCCAGCAAGAAGCCCAGATCTCACACCGATGGATTACTATGTGTGGGGACATATGAAAAGCCTGGTGTACGATGTTTCGTCCGTACCAACGCGCGATGAATTAATTACAAGGATAATCAGTGCAGCTGACCAAATAAAAAGCCGCTTAACAACTAGAGTTACCAAAAGTGAATTACGTAAGAGAATGCGGGCGTGTATTCGTAACAGGGGATTACAATTTGAGCAGAATCTGTAAAATACTAAATGAAATGTAATCAAATAAAAATGTAATTAAAATAAAAGCCTTTTATTTATCCTACGTAATTATCGTTCGTACAACTTTACTCATCTTTTTTTAATTTTATGTCTTTGTACTTGAGTTAGTTGTAACTTTTATACCTCAAATGAAAGCTTGTTAGATAGAGATATTATTTACATACTTTGCACATTTCATTACTAGGAGATTTTTTACAGAAAATTGCATTTTCTATCAAATAAGTTAGTAAAAAAATAAGAAAATCATAAATTTGAAAAGTTTTCAACATTTTATTACTTATTATGAACTATTGAAATATCCGCTATGCGACGATAACAAAAAACTCAAAATCAAACATGTAGTTTTTCCGTATTTCGAATTTAACCGTCTGAAATCGGAATCAAAAATAAAAAAATAAAATTCAAATAACTCAAAAACGGTTAACTTCTGGATAGGACATTATAGGACAAAATCGGTTTCTTTCGACCTAATCTATCATCCCTTAACAGGAATACGTGACATTACAAGTCACCCTGTATATTTTTTACTTTAACTCTAACGAATGTACAATATTAATGCTAAGATTATAAACCGAGAAGAATCAATTAAAGTCGTCAGTGAAGCAGCACAGCGACAAATTCAATTTATTGTTCAATTTAAATGAGCAAAGTGACGATTTGCATTTCCTTGACATTCATTTTTTATTTTATTCTAACTTAATTAGCATCTGCATATCTGGGTCACTCTCATTAGAAGACTACCGACAGTATGAGAACGAGGCTTCTTACTGTATATTTATTCAATTAGGATTGAACATTTTTATTCCACGATCCTCTCAATTATCCGCAAAAAAGATTTGCAATATTGATTTATATCTTTGTCGGTGAAGATCACATCCGATAAGATGATTTACGTTGATGTCTAGAATATTAACATATTCTTCTCATTACAGTTCACATCATTGTATATTCTTCTTTGGGATCACATACGAGTCCCTTCCCACTTCAGTTGGCCCACTTCAAGATTTGTACCAAAACATGACGAAAATATTTACTTCTAAAACAATTTATTTTCTTAAAAACGTTTTAGATACACTCTAGTCGTAAAAAATGCATATTTGAAATCACTTAGACCTATAACTAATAGAACATCTGAACAAATAAACAATGTGTGAATAAATGCGCGAAGTTAACAAAGCAAAAATTGAATGATTACCATTGGATAACATCACTTTTATTTTTTATTAGGGCTGAAATTCTTTGGGGCATAGTGTTAACCAAGTTTTGGCAACAATTTGGCGTAAATCAATCTTGAAGCTTTTGTCTCAGTTCGGTGATTGTACGAGCAGGATGTTGTCGTAGAACCTTTTTCATCTCGTGCCACAAAGTTTCAATAGGTGACAGATCTGGACTGTTAGAAACCCATTTCAAAAGTGGTACATTATTTTCTTCCTTTCATTTTATAGCCTTTTTTGAGGTATGGCACGCTGCACCATCCTGCTGAAACACAAAATCTCGGCCGGATGTTAAACATTCTTCCATCACTGGTTAAAGCGATTCTTCTAAAGTTGCCAAATATTTGTTTTCCTACTCCTTTTGATGACATACTTCCCCAGACCATAATGGATGCTGGAAGTTCCATTTTTCTCTTCAGACAGTCAACATGGAATGCTTCATTTTTTTGCGAATAACTCTACTGCGACTGCCACCAACACAGCTGAGTTATTCCTCCATAGATGGATGCTTTTGATGACGCTCAGAGTAATCATAGTGAGCAAACGTGGAATGAACTATTTGCACACTAAAAACTACCTAGTCTGCAAGATGACATTTTGTCGTTTTTTGACGTTTTTTACATAAAATCTCTGTCGCTCCCTAACAATGCTAAGGTTCCAGGCGCTTACCTGGAACTGTTTCCTTAGACGCAACGAGAGGGTTTCACAATTATCTACTTTTTGAAGGCTTATTTTTAGCTAGAGATACCAAATCAGAATGTCTTTTCTTTTCAATCATCTCATATAGTTATGATGCTGCTGATATTGCAAGAACGTGACGCCGATATTTTCACTCATAAAGTGGTATTTATTTTAAAAGTTCAAGATGAAAATCGTCTTGTTCTCGTCAGTCCAATCAATAAAAACAAAAAACCTAGTCCTTCTGAAATAAAAAACATTTTTGACTTTTCCAAGTTTAACATGTAAGTACACGAGCCCCTTCCAACTTCAGTTGGCCCAACTATTAAAATCTTTCTTATCAAACACAATGAAAATGTAGCAGGGTGTTATAGGTTTAAAATATTAACAATGAATATTTTGATAATATATAGTAGAAAACACCAACTTTGGTCGAAATTCAGTCCAGAGTCTATTCAAAAACTCAATATGCAGTGTGAAAGTGATACTGCTACCTAAGATCAGTTCGTGAAAGACTCGCTGGTTGAGTCGCTTATGTCTTATCGCTGCTGTTCCTTATAGATATCTTTAAATTTCATTCTCTATTTCTAGGTATCTTTCACGCTTCGTATGCCAAAATTCCGAAAATAGCAAGTGAATAAGTATCAAGTTTCTATATTACACACTCGAGGCGCAAAGTATTAGTTTTTGTGAACTTCTAAAACTAATCCTATGGTTATCAAGTTGATGAAATCACAAATTACCTCAGAAAACCTACACCATATTGTTCTAATGTGCAACAGTTTTACTATAAAAATAACAAATTTTAGTTTTTTAATTGTATCTTGTGGGAAAAGTGCACTTCCTTGTTAATTTTGGGGCGCTGAATCCAAAAATGACAATGTAATAAAAAAATTAGTTGCGGTTTAGAAAAAAAACTTTTTATTTTTAAGGATATATTAAAAAAAGTAACAAGATTCATATACTTATAAGAATCACTATATGCGCTGTCTTTTTGCTGTTCTTTTATGGATCGTTTCTGGAGCATCTCTACCAACAGTCCAACAGTAGTCTGCAGGCATGGAAGGATTCCACTTTCCCTGGTACCTTTTTTCCATTGTTGAAATATCCTGATGAAAACGTTCGCCGTGCTCATCACTTACGGCTCCGCAATTGTCAGGAAAAAAGTCCAGGTGTGAGTGTAGGAAATGTATCTTAAGAGACATATTACAGCCCATCTTTTGATACGATGACAGCATATTTTTGACAAGGGTTTTATAGTTGTCAGCTTTTCTATTTCCCAAGAAATTAGTGACCACCAGACGGAAATCATTCCAAGCAGTTTTTTCAATTCCTGTTAAACTGTTTTCAAACTGTGTATCTTTCAAAATATTTCGAATCTGTGGCCCAATAAATATACCTTATTTAACCTTTGCCTCACTTAGTCTTGAAAATTTCTGACCCAGGTATTGAAAAGCTGACCCATCTCTATCTAATGCCTTGACAAAGTTTTTCATTAGGCCCAACTTGATATGCAGTGGTGGTATTAAATTTTTTTCGAATCTACTAATGGCATATGCTGTACATTTTTTTGACCTGGCTCTAGGAATTGACGAACAGGCCAGTTTTGTCTGGTGTAATGAAGTGCCTTTGCCCGACTGTCCCATTCACACAAAAAACAGCAAAACTTTGTGTAGCCTAGCTGCAGCCCAAGTAAAAGTGCAACAACTTTCAAATCGTCACAAATATGCCATTGGTACTCATCGCATTTTATGCATGTCAATGGGTACTTCATATTGTCATATGATTCTTTCATGTGAACTGCATACCCTACAGGAAGAGATGGTAAAATATTTCCAATATGCAATAACACTGCCTTTAAACTCAATGTTGAACTGTCTATAAACAATCTCCATTCTTCTGGGTTATAGTTTATATTTAAAGCCGCCAGTAAGCCGTTAATGTTACTGCAGAAAACCAAGTTATTCTCCATATTGAAAAATGGTTCTAAGTCTTTGTGGCGTTTACGAAAAACACATACCGAAACATCGTCTTCTAACAAGTTCCACTGCTGCAGTCTTGATCCAAGTAACTCTGCCTTACATTTTGGAAGTTCTAAATCTCTTACAAGATCATTTGTTATTTTGTGCGGTTGGTGGCATGACGTGCTCGGTATAAAATCAGGATCTCTTGACGTTGATGACATATCTTCTTCCTGA